TTTTTGTGAACAGTCATTCCTCTGGGATCTGTCTCACTTTGACTGGCATCGTATTCTGTTAACTGATGACGTGAACTCCGCTTGGAACTATTTCCATAATAATTTCATTTATTTCCTGAACATACATGCTCCTTTTCGTCAGTTCAGAATAAAGGGACGAGACAGCCCCTGGTTTACTCCAGAGCTAGCTGACCTCCTGCACAGGAGAGATCATCTTTGGGCGAGAAAATCTGGCTCAGACACTGATTGGTTGAGTTTTCGACAGATGAGGAATAAATGTACAACTGCTGTTAAAGCAGCAAAACGCAACTATTTCTTATCTCAGACCTCCAAAAATCTAAATGACCCTAACAGATTCTGGAAAACCATCAAATCTCTCTCAGGCAACCCCCAATCATCTGACCTCCCATCACAACTTCTCGTTAACTCTGTTCCTGTGTCAAATAAGCACGAGATCCTGAACTGTCTCAACAAACATTTTGTTGCTTCTGGTTCTTTATTTGACACAGTTACTAATGGAAGATCAGCCACTTCACTTAATAATCAAACTTCTACAAATCAAATCCCTCCTACAAGTCAATCCTCAGTTAATCACAGCTTCTCTTTTTCTCCATTCTCAGTCAGTGAGGTCAATAAACTGTTAATAGATCTTGATCCTAAATAATCTGCAGGTCCAGATGAACTTCCACCTTATTTCTTAAGGCTGGCCGCTCATATCATCACAGTCCCTGTGACCCACATCTTCAATCTCTCCATAAGACAAAACTCCATCCCAGACACTTGGAAAACAGCCTTTGTTCTTCCTTTGCTGAAGGGAGGAGACCCCACCTCACTGAACAACTATCGACCAATCTCTAAACTCTGCATTTTAGCCAAGGTTCTAGAAAAACTGATAAACTCTCAAATCAAAGATTACCTGGACTCATTTAACATCTTACCTCCACATCAATCTGGTTTCAGGAAACAACACAGCACAACCACTGCTTCACTGAAGGTTCTTAATGATGTTGTTGAAGCACTGGATGATAAGGATTATTGTGCTGCACTTTTCTTAGACCTGTCTAAAGCTTTTGACACTGTGGATCATAACATCTTGTGTCATAAACTCTCAGAAATTGGTTTCTCAGAACACACCATTGGTTGGTTCTCTAACTATCTTTCAGACCGGAGGCAATGTGTTCAACATAATGGTACTTCCTCCAGTTATTTAACAGTCAACAATGGTGTACCACAAGGCTCAGTATTAGGATCTACCCTCTTTACAATCTACATAAATAATGTAGGTAAAAACATCCCTAATGCATCCATACATTTCTATGCTGACAACACAGTTGTTTATTGTCGAGCTAAAACTGTTGCTAAGGCTTTCCAGCTTTTGAAATCTGCATTCAACATCATCCAGACTGATTTGTTTCGCCTCAAACTTGTCCTAAATGCTGACAAAACCAAAGGGATGCTTTTTTCAAATAGGAAGTTGGTCCCAGCAGTTCTTCCTCCAATTTTATTCTCAAATGGTGTCCCCATTGAGTTTGTTGATTCCTATAAATATTTGGGTATCTTGGTCGACTCACATCTCTCTTTTAAGCTCCATGTGGAAAACTTGATAAAGAAACTGAAAGTTAAACTGGGTTTCTTTTTCAGAAACTAATCCTGTCTAACCCTGAATGCTAGAAAACGCCTTGTATCTGTGACTTTCCTTCCCTCAATTGATTATGGTGATATTATTTACATGAACGCTCCTACAAGAACCCTGCAGATGTTGGATGCTGTCTATCATGGTGCACTAAGATTCATAACTGGCTGTGATTATCGTACCCACCACTGCACCCTGTATTCACTGGTTAACTGGACATCATTAACTTCACGCAGACTCTCTCACTGGTACATTTTCATCTTTAAATCACTTCTTGGTCTGTTGCCTTCATACATCTCCTCCTACATGTCTCTGCGTGAGTGCAGCTACGGAGTGCGCTCTCAGGACATTATTACCTGCAGTGTTCCCTCAATGAGGACTGAACTAGGCAAAAGGGCCTTCTCCTATTCCGCTCCTGTTTCCTGGAATATCTTACAAAAAGATTTGAAGCTCTCGACCTTGACCTCTCTAAGTGTCTTTAAGAATCTGTTGGACACCTAGCATGGTCCAATGCTGACATGTTCCTGTTGTTAGTTTTCTACATTTGTCTTGGAATCTAGCTGTTTTTTTTGTTTTGTTACCTTTTCCTTTTTGCCATCCTATTTGTTAAAAAAAAAAACAAAAAAAACTGTAGTATGCTTTTTTATAACTGTTTATTGTTGTTGCTGTTGTCCATTGTTGTCATCTTTCTTTGTTGAAATCAGGTCTCTCTTGTAAATGAGTCCTCGAGGCTCAATGGGATTTACCTGTATAAATAAAGGTTGATCTATCTATCTATCTATCTATCTATCTATCTATCTATCTATCTATC